AATTAATTTATTTGTGTGTGTGTATGTGTGTGTGGCCAGCTCAGCCCACCAGGAGGCGGGGCTGGCTGGCATGTGGTGCTGGGGGATTGAACCGCGGTCCCTGTGCTTTGTTAAACTTGTTTTAAGTAGGTGCTTTAGACCGCTGAGCCATCTCACCAGCCCCCCTCAGTGTTTTTCTTCTGAGAAGGTTTTCACTATGTCACTATGTTGCATTAGCTGAAAACAAATTTCATTGCATTCCCAGCTATCATTTCTTTTCTGTCTGTGAGAGGGTTCTGCCAACATGTTTTCTTAGCTGGATTCAAAATGAATTGCACTTCAAGCTTTTCTGTTGTTGTTTTTATTCAAAATTCTCCAAGTTCCCTAGGATGGATTACAATTCCTGATTGTCATGCCTCTCCCTCATAAATGGTGGAATTAAATCCATGCACTGATACTCCTGTTTATAAAATTTTAAATGCTTTTCCTTCTGTTCCCTAAAATGTTGCAGTCATATGAATGGATAAGGTAGGTGTTCGTGTTCCGAAGGACATAGTGGAGCACGCCTATGATGCCAGAACTCAGGAGGCTGAAGCAGGGTGATCATCTCCATGATTTTGAGGACAGTCAAGGCTCCATAGTGAGTTCAGTGACAGTCTCAATTACATAATGAGATGCTGTTCCAAAAAGCAAACCAGAACAACAAAAAAGTAGATCAGTTTCTTTTTTTTTTTTTTTTAATATTTATTTATTTATTTATTTAGTGTGTGTGTGGCCAGTTCAGCCCACCAGGGGGCGAGGCTGGCTGGCACGTGGTGCTGGGGGATTGAACCGCGGTCCCTGTGCTTTGCTAAGCTTGTTCTAAGTAGGTGCTTTAGACCACTGAGCCATCTCACCAGCCCCATAGGTCAGTTTCATACCTATCTCTATCTCTCTTTTGTGTTTTAGGGAAGAGTCTACAGGGTGTTCTGGGTCTCACTACTAGATTGGATTCAGAGTGCTCCGCCTGTTTACAGCCTCCCAAGAGCTGGGGTTATAGGTGCGCGCACCACCATGCCCAGTCTCAATTGCCATCTCAGTGCATCCTGGGGGTGGGGCCGGCACAAGGATCAAGCCCCCAGCCCCTGCACTTTCTTGCAGGCACTTTAATCTGCTGAGGTGTTTGGCTAGCTCAGGACCTTACACTTGCCAAGCAGGCACTTACTTTTTTTTTTTTTTTTTGCGGAACCAGGGATTGAATTCAGACCCTTGAGCTTGCCACTTAAGCACTTATTCTACTGAGCCATCTCCTTGGCCCTGGCACTTATTCTGCTGGGCTGTCTCCCAGGCCCAAGCTATCTCTATTTTCATGTTGTACATTTCACATATATTGAGAATAAAGTGTGTGAGTCTATATGACAACATTTTCTATCTTAATTTTAATGTACTCTCTAGTATTAAGTGTTGCATGGATTTCATTGCTAGTTACTGGAAATCTTTCAGTGCGACTTCAAATGACTGTGACCTGGGAGGAAAGGAGAAAGGGAACTACATCTCTGCAGGCTTGGAAGTTTGCTGTAAACAGATAATCTTAATTGCTATGACAGTGAGAGATTGTAGTGAAGGAGAGTAGATAGCAGTCCAGATTTAAATTCTTTAGTGAGATTTCAGGGTCAGTATAATAAAACAGCCTCACAGTAAGACATCAAAAAACTTATCTGGGCGTGGAACAGCATGCCTATAATTGCAGCCCTCCAGGGGGTTGATGCCGGAGGATCCTTGCAAGTTGAAGACCAGCCTAAGCATCATGTGACTCTACATAAAATAAGCCAATAATCAAACAGAAAAAGGTAACATTATTGTGGTGTTTTGGTTTGCACTTTTTTGTTGTCCAGGCTGAGAGAGCTTTTATGTTTTTGTCTTTCTCTTGGTACAGGGTCTCACTCATTGTACAGTTCAGGCTGGACTTAAGCTTACTTTGTAGCCCAAGCTGTTGTCAAACTCATGATTGTCCTGTCATTCCCTCCCAATTTCTTGGAAAAAGGCAGGTTTTTTTTTTCTTCCTCATACTTTAGATTGAACTCAGGACCATGTGCTTGCCAGGCAGGTGCCTATGTTTCTGAGCTATCTTGTCTTCTGGTGAGTCTTAAGCTTTCAATGTATGGCATGCTGCCCTTGAATTCCCAGGGACCCCTTGTGTCCCCCTACGGAGTGCTGTGATTAGAGGTGTGGCCACCAGGTTTCTCAGGCATAAGGAAATTCCCAAGGGCAACTCCAGGATTTGTCAAAGTCTGTTCTGGCCTTGAACTCACAGGGCCATGACTGGTGAGGGAAGTGCTGATCTGTCTTCTGGAATTCTTGGCGAGCTGGTGAGTGCACTGAGGGAGGTGAAGCATTCTGCCCACAGCCACAGAGCTCCCTCAGGGCATGAAGCAACAGGGAATGTGGGTGCTATGGTTTGTGTCTAATTAATTGTCCCCCCAACGCTTCATGCAGTCATGGGGCGGGAACTTCTAGAGTTTGAGATTAACTCATGATCCATGGGACTATGGGTTTTAGTACTGCTGGGATTATAAGTGTGAGTACTGAACCCAGTCTTGGAGTGAATAGCGGAATATAACATAAGAGAGTCAGAAAGACAGCCTTCCTCTCTGTTGCCATTGTTGCCGCTGCCCCTGCTCCTTTGCTCTCTGCACTTGATCACTGCCATGAAAGGTTGCTCTCTGCCCTGAGCCACTCTGCTTTGGAGCCAGCCAACTATGGACTGAAATTTCCAGTAACTGTGAGATAATTAACCTTTCCTTCCTTCATTTTGGGTATAGGATATTTGTCCCAGCAATGAGAGAAGAGTAACTGAGACAGTGGGGAAGAGAGAAAATCATTCTGCTGCATTCCTCTCCACCTTTTTCAATCCTCCACCTCGCTGGGAGCCTAAGACCCTCTCTTCACCATCCCCTTATCTCCACCGGTGTGTTCTGCCCTCAGCACTTGCAACTCCACCCTTCAAACTCCCCCTGCAGTAACACCCTTCCCATGATGTGTTCTCCAAACATTTCCTGTTCTGTTAAGTTTATTTATCTCTTGTCCCCTATGCAAAAATCTTTCCTTATCTTTCAAGCCCCAAATGCACCAGCTTCCAATTCCTGTACAGTGGTTGCCATAGATTGATGGAGTTTATGTTCCTAGTGTACCTGGAAATTGCAAAACACCATGAATTCCTCATATGGTGAGAAAAATGCCTATGAATGCTTATGTTTACATCAAAAACCTAAGTATCCTGTCTCCTACAATTATGTAATTTATTTAAATACTGTATTGTTAAGTCCTTACAAGATGCATGGTGCTTTGGCAACTTTTAAGGGATCCTGCTCATTTATGAACAAAACCAAAAGCAACTGACATAGATACATGCTGTGTAACAACCTGCTGTGGTGTAGGAATGCTGTTGCAGCCTCCAATCAGCAGCAAGATGACCTGAATAACATTCATGGATTGGCTATTTTCAAAAGTCTTGTACCAAAAGAATGGTAGAGGCGATTTGGTATTTGCATAAATTTGCTAAGATTTCTGTAAACAAATACAAATGTGGTTCCAAAGAAAAAATTGGAAATGATAGAGGCCCAATACTCTAAACTGAGTCTTCATAAGGTTATTGTGTGTTTTCATTGAAAACAAGATTTCCTAGCAGAAGAATTTCCCAAGCCAGCTGCTCATTCCACTGAGTTGCTTTTTCCACTGCCAGGTGATGGATGACCAGTGAAGCAAAAGGTGTAAGAGGAAAATGCAGACTCCATAATTACATGAAATAAAATCTCAAGGCATTTATTATATAATCTGCTTATTTTTTTCTTAGTAAGGTGCATTGTGGGAAGTGATAGGTTGAGAGACTGGGCCATATGAACTTTCCATTTTCTTGGTTATATTTCTCTGCACTGAAGATCAGAACATTTTCTCAAAATTTGAGTCTGTTTTAGATTCCTTAGCTCCCAGTTCCCAATGGGTCGGCGTGTCTGGTGCCACATTTGGAAATGAATGTTTTGCTTTCTCTCTGTCTCATTGAAATGCTACCAGACATTCTTCCTGGTGTCATTACAGGCAGAAGTATAGATTTGGGAGTATGAACACAAAAGAGATATGGGATACACTGAGGACTCTTGCACATTTTTCAAACCAGTGACTATTCATTGTAGATCAGTTACCTGGTGGGTAAGAAGGGTTTTGCAGACTTGCCTGAAAGGATATCTCTCCCCAGTGTTTTTCAGCACCACAGCCTTCCACATTCAATATGAGCACCCTGACTCCACGTGTACTACGTGAGCTGGCAATTGAGAGCTTGTTGAGCAATGAGGCCTTGGGCCTAGAAGCTGTGGAAGATTTGCCAGGGAATCTCTTTCCACCAGTGTTCATGGAGGCCTTCAAAAGGGGACACACGGAGGTCCTCAAGGCCATGGTGCAGTCCTGGCCATTTCCCTCTTTGCCACTTGCAGCCCTAATGGAAATGAGGGAACTAGGGACTGTCTACACTAAGAAAGATGCTCACCTGTTGCAGAAACGGATATTACAATCGGTGTTGGATGGGATTGACGTGGTGCTGTGTCAGAAAGTTTGCTCCAGGTGAGTGTACCCCAAGTGTTCTGGCTGCAAGGCCCTTGTATTCCAGGAAGGGACAGATAGAGTCAGAGAGTGGGGAGCTAAAGGATGAAGTGGAGTCTTCTGAGGGTGACTAGCCAGGGATCAGTGAAGCCTGGAACACTTCTGAGCCTCTTGTGAGTGCAATGCCAAATGTGGAGGACAGGTCATGATGGAGGCAGCAGTGGATGGAATGAGAAATTTCTGACTCCTCCCACAGGCAACAGGAGGAGGGACTAGGATGGATCCAAGGGAGAAAAGAGAAGCAGAAATCTAAAACAGAAGGAAGTTAGCAACTGACTTCAGAGATGAGAAAGTCACAGGAGGAAACTGTGTCCTGCCCTGAATTCTCAGACTTATCCCTGGTTCACCCACAGGAGGTTCAAACTGCAAGTACTAGATATGCAAGTCATTCACCGAAACTTCTGGGCAATCTGGGCTAAAAATGAGGTGGAAGTGTGCTTCTCAGGAGCTGTAAAGAGGACAAAAACAAAGAAGACTGGGGCAAGGGAACCAAACAAGAAGACCCTCAAAATCCTTGTAGATCTGTGGATCTATAAGATGTATCCTTACCCATTGGCATCCGACCTCTTCAAGTGGGTCAAGAAGAGGGAAGATCTGGTGCAGGTGGATTGTAAGAATCTGTGTATCATCAGAGTGGGCTTTCCACTGGACACACAGTACCTGGAAATGCTCAACTTTGATTCTGTGGAGATACTGTTCATGGGTTATGACTTGTCTTTGTCTTTCTTGGCTGATTTTGCCTCTTTTGTGGGCCAAATGCGAAATGTTAAGAAACTAATTCTCTCTCACATCTCTGAGACTATCTCCATTTCTCCAGAGTACACAGAGCAGTTGGTCACCAAATTCACCTCTCAGTTTCTTAAGCTGAACTGTCTGAAAACAATTCATATAGACTCTGTCTCCTTCCTTGAAGGACACTTGGACCAGGCACTCAGGTAAGACATGGAGCTCTCTTATTTGTCAGGAAGACTCTTCTCTGTTGTAGAAAGCTTGGTGAGCTAAACAGTGTGCCACGCACAGGAGATGTGACAGAGATCAAATACTAGAATACCAACACTTTCATTACCATTTTCACTCTTCATTCTCAGAAAATCATGTAACATTGTCCCTGTACTTAAGTAGCTAGAACAGAAACAGCCACCATGCTTGAACACAAGGAGGTGGTGATTAGATACAGTGGGGGAAACATACAATACAAAACAAAAGGTGACTTTTCTTTCTAGCCAGTCTCCTGCCTCCATCATCAGAAAAGAACTGTGATTATTTAGTTCTGATTGAGGCAAGAGGATTGTAGGGATTTAAGACTTTGCTACTCAAGCAAGGCTTCATAAATTCACACATCAATGGGGATAATTCATGTGACACTTGGCTCACCTTGTTGTTTTCCACCACCCAATAATTTTCACCATAGTTGGCCACATCTAACTGCTTTATTCTCTTTAGGTGCCTGGTGTCCCCACTGAAGTCCTTCTCAGTAACTAACTGCAAGCTCTCACACTCTGACTGGAATCATCTTCTCTACTCTGAGCAGATCAGACACCTAAAACACTTGGATCTAAGTTTTACCAGCCTGACTCATTTCAAGCCTGAGTCTCTCCGAATTCTGCTGGATAATGTTTCCGCCACACTGACCATCCTGTATTTGGTAAACTGTGGACTCACTGATGCACAGGTCTATGCCTTTCTTCCTTCCCTGAGCTGTTGTTCCAAGCTCACTAACTTCTGCTTCATAAGAAATTTCATGTCCGTACATGCCATGGAGAACCTACTGTGCCACACGGCCAGGCTGAGCAACTTAGCCCTGGAGATGTACTCTCCTCCTCAGGAGGTTCATGTTCCCTGGGATGGTGACATCCAGAAGATATGGAGCCAGATACAAGCACCACTTAGGAGGATGGTGAAGCCTCTAAACCATCCCAGGACAGTATGGTTTTGTGTTCATCAAGAATTCTATTGCAGACAGAGGTTCTATATTGTGCACCCTAAACCATGCCAAAACTGTATGCCCATGTAGTTGACTATATCTATCCTATATTTTCTTCTACCTCAAAGAACACAGAACCATTTGTTCATTGCCAGTGAGAAAGGCACAGTTTTGCCAGAAGTTAGCAACCGTGAAGAATCACAGACAATATAGTAGACATGCCCTTTGTGGACTTGGGTCCTATAGGGGAGCAGTAATAAAAAATTTGAGTTGTTAGAGATGAATTTGTGCATAAATGTAAAGGAATGATCAGCAATAAAGAGTTGCATGTGGACCATTTATTTTCCTCCATGTTCATTTTACCTGCTTTCCAGTTCAGGGTTCGTGAATCTACAGGACCTGAGGAGATAAGGCCTTGGGCTGTCTGATCAATGAGTTTGGCCTCAGGAGCTCAGAGCAACAAATAGAGATGTTCCATGGTTTTCATTCCGTCCTGTCATTTAGCTTCTCGAGCTAGGTTTTACTACCATACGTCCTGGTTCTTCTCCCCTTTCCTGACAGGCCCATGCTATAGGGGAACAGAGCTGTCACACTGAGCTGGAGCCACAGGAAAATTTCTTTCCTGACCAAGTCCATGGGAAAG